AGTTTTTCTAGACTAATAGTGGTGTTTGCACTATATAACCAGCTGCGAAGATTAAGTTTGATTCATATTTATGTGTTTAAATTTATTGAGATACAGTTTTTCTATCTTTATGTTATAGTTTTTTCAGTTCAGCAACAAATAATCTTCTATATGCTTCCTTGTTTGCCATTGTCACCCGTTTTAATACGAAAAAAAGACAGTGTTACCAAAATAGTTTGTTTAGCGTGAAAGATCAGAGCCAAAATACGGTTGCAAATAATTTTATTGATGTAAATCAACATTAATCATTTTATATCAAAATATTTGCAACCCCATTTTGTTTCCGATCTTTTACACATTGTAATAAGACAAAGAAATGGAATCCATAGTTTTTTAGCTTTGGGTTCATCTAATAATTGAAGTTTTTCAAATCGTTTTCTACGAATTTTGGATTATACTCATTTGTTAGCACACCACAATATCTTGTAGTTTTCAGTTTTACAGCTGGCGAATATCAGTTCGATATTGTTTAGAGGGATGTTTTGTCGTAATTCATAGAATTTCGTAGTTCCTTGCTAAAAGTACGATAAGTGGTGATTTGATATCTGCCAAATCAACACCTGTTGATATCAATTTGAACTTCCAAATTCCACGGACCATGACATTGAACCCGGAAAAACAATACCGATTCAATATTTTAGATTATCCATTTCCAAGGAGTTTAGAATTTTTTGGACTTTAAAGAAATAGAAGGCATTCATGGAATGTCTTTCTGTCCCCTTTTTAAGCTTCGAATACCTTCAATCACCCATGTGACCAACTTTCGTTCATCATTTTATATAATGTTTGATCGGTGATACTAGCAAAACTTTTATCAGCAAAAATGCATTTTACATTTTACAAATAGAAAATACTTTTGAAAAACTATTTTAAATAAAATACAAAATGCTTTTCTCAAAAAAGTATTTTGTATTTTAACGACACCATACACAGATAATTAATAGATGTGTTAAACGAATCAATAAGACAGTTTCTTTTGGAATAGTACTAAGGTAAAAATAAATCGTTAAAATTTTACCTGCTATTATCAAAATGGGTTTCCTATATTGTTTTTTGGAAAAAAATTCCCATAACGACGAATTTCCTTGCATATCTTCTTCTGTAGTCAGTTGGATTTCCTTTAATCGACAATCGATAAATTCTGGACTGGCAGTATTTGCCGACAGGATTTCTAACGATCGCCTGGCACCTTCGATATCGTTTTTCTTAACGAGATAATAAGGAGATTCTGGGATAACTAGACATAAGAAAAGGGCCACTAACGGCAAAATGGCAGACGTAATGGCTAAGTAGGTGTAAGGCAGAAAAGGACCTGCCGTGTATACGTAGAGGCTTCCAAAAAGTGCCAGGACTACCAAAAAGGACGATATCCGTCCACGAATATCTTTTTCTGCTATTTCTCCATTATATACTGGGCCACACTGAATTGAAAAAAAAAAATCAGGTTTTGAGACCTCGGGCAATATCATTACACAAAAATAAAAATTCAGCTTTGGATGGAAAGGTCGGAAACATTGTTGAAGTTAAACATAAGAAAAGTGTAAGCTTTTGGTTAGTAATTTATCGAATCTACCACACGTAGATCTACCTTTTTGGGCCTCATCAGTACGCCATAGGTAGACTTAATAAATCACCGGCTAAATAAAAGGAGTTGTAGAAGTATTTTATGTATAAGACACAGGCTCTACTAAGGTCAAACCATGTATAGGTACTTCACGTTTTTAAGTTAATGGACTATCTTACGGTTTGCTTGCTTTCGTCTTTTATTTTAAAAAAGCAAGAATTCCTTTTCTTTCTAATTTTTTGACAAGAACTTTTGCTCGCGAACGGTTAATTTAGAAATTCGAAAAAGATTGTTAAAGGTATATGTTTGGAGTGCGGCGCTGTACGGGTGCGAAACATGGACGGTGGGCGCGGCGGAAAAGAAAAGGTTAGAAGTGTTCGAAATGTGGTGTTACAGGCGAATGATGAGGATACCGTGGATAGAGAAGGTTAGAAATGAAGAGGTATTGGAAATAATAGGAGAACAGAGGACTCTATGGAAGTCAATAAAAAATAGGCGAGATAGGTTGGTAGGACACCTTCTCAGGCATGAAGGTCTAGTCAGAGACATATTAGAAGCAGAAACGGGAGTTAGGAGGGGTAGAGGTAGACCTAGGTTACTGTTCGCAAATAGTTAAGGATGTGGGATGATTAGCTCAGGATAGAAAGGAGTGGAGCTGCGTGTCTAACCAGTCTTAAGGTTGACGAACTTATGATAATGAAGAGAAATTGTTGTCTTGTCTCGTCTTTGCACACAATTTTTTTGTCCTGTTCTTGCAGCAGGAAGAAGACGAAAACAAGAATATCGTGAAATACTAGACATAACTAGGAGGGTAGATGACCTCATTCATTGATCTGCTTGACTGTATTTCCAGAAACATCCTGGATGAGCCAACATCAACGATAAAGTAATAAATAAAATTGGAGCGCAATAGTAAAAGACGTGAGATATAACTGTTAGATGAATTTTCATTTCTACGCATGATATCTGCATGTGACGAGTGAGGATTAAACTGTTTGTGAGTTATTAATTACAACAGGTTCGGAAAAGGAACAAAACTGTCCAACATCGAAATTGAATGGATTAAGAACGTAAATTTACTTTTCAATTTTGTGCAGATATTAAAGAACTTACTGTGGTGCATATGCCTATTCCTAAACCGGCTATAAACCGTGCTACGTATAATACAGTTGCTGACTTCGCAAATATTATCACAATCCATGAAATAAACAATGGAACACAAGCTATCACAAACGACGGCTTCCTTCCAAGGTGTTCGATCGACCATGCCGAAAATAAGCATCCGACAACCGAACCAAGGTGCAGGATTGACACTATCCAAGAGCTCTCTTCCTAAACAAATTCGACATTAGATCAAAAACGTTTATCACTTTGAAGTGTTTTTGAGCATAACGAACTCTTTATCGAAAATATGTTAACAACTTTAACAACAACCATTTGTTTGCTTGTTTATTTATTTATTTTTAATTGAATATGACAATACGATTTCCTAGATTTGGTTACTGATAGGAGAGTAAAAATGATTAAAAAAAAAGGCCAATGAACAGAAATTACACATTTTTTTTGTATGTCGTACCAAGGAAAATTTTCTTTATTAGATATTTATATGAAATGATGGCTGAAGGTATTTGTACAAACTGGTATTGCGTGTGTTGTTGTGGTTGTTCGGGCTTTCTGGCCGTCGTCTTTCAAGGTTTATCTTCGACTTTTAGTCGCCACGCACGGACGACATTTTCAGGAGATACTGCTGCTGCTGTAGTCAGTAGAGATACTACAGCAGCAGTAATATCTCTTGAAGATGTCGTCCTTGCGTGGCCACGAAACGTAGAGGATAAACCTTAAAAGACGACGGCCAGAAAGCCCCGAACAACCACAACAACATTAATGATAGCCGCGAAAGCTTGAACCAAATGGTATTGTATGTATTTGGTTATTCAAAAAATGGTCCTCATATTAATGTTGACATTTAATATTCAGTTATTTTGATACAAAAAATCAAAGAGTACACCATTGTATTTATTTAAAAAACCAAACAAAAGCCGATAAGGATAAAATTTTTGTTCCAACTATTAATTGTTTTGCTATCTCATACTCGGATCTTGCAAACGTTGAGTAGCACTGATTTTCCTTCTATAGAAAACTTGATATAAGTAATACAATAGCAAGGTAGCGCATGTTTCACAAATGATATAGATATAGTCCTTATTCATGCATTTTTAAAATTGTTTAACTATAATACAACGGCCAATTATTTCAAACGATTGGATAATGAGAAAAGGTAACGTTTGATAAAAAAAAACGAAAAAAAAAAGAAATGAATTTGCAAATTCTATAAATACTCACTTTTGTAATTCTTACACCTATTGGGGATTTATCAGACATTAAATCTGGTAATGTTGGTGAGGTCCATGCAAAATGCGTTGCACCGGATCCCAACGTTAGCATAGCTGGAGAAATATTAATAAGAGTTTTAAGAATTTTAGTGGCTTAAACATGTGCAATGTCGTGAATATTTTTTTTTATTGATGTAAAGTGGCTGTTGAAACGTTTTGATTTGGATACGAATTATAAAAATTATGGATATTCCTAAAATGTTGCGGTGATTGTCCAGAATTGGGGCAATTTTGAAAAATTATCGTTCAAAAAATTTTTTTTATTTATGAAGTCAAAAAACTGTTTTCCGCACTTTCTAATATCTTTGGATATTTTTTGTCTATTTATCGGTTGGTGACGAAATAACATAAATAATGAAATTTAAGCTTTTTCTTTAGACGCTGGTTTAAAACATTTTCTATTTTTTTTTGTGTAAAACAGATATATTAGGTTGAAACACGATAGCAGATATTCCTAAATATAACTGTACCTACAGGTACCTACTACTTACAAACTCCTTACGATTTTTAAACTTACCTAATCATCTAATCTAAATTTACCCCGAACTAAAGAACGGGGGTTATAAGTACGAAGGCTTTGCCACAATAACGTGTTAATATAATGACGTTTCGTTTACGACATTTTTATAAGTTCACTAAATTTTCTATGTGTTTCTGGAAACTTTTTTCTTTTTCCACGACTTTGACCAAAACTTAAAAGTTTAAACAAAAATCTGTTGAGTTTCATATGCAGTAGATTTGTTGAAACTTTGAAAAAAATTACTTTACTTAGATCTAAATTTTATTGTCTGAAATGGCATAATTTACGGAAAAACAAAAGACAACATCTACCATTAACTATTACGAAATATCCAGAATAATTTGAAATATTTTAATGCTACCTTTAGAACTATGCAAGAACAAACATTCATTTGCAGAAATAAACCATAAATTTTCCGAAATTAGTTCAAATATTTTTGAAAATAAAAGAAAACCTTCAAGCTATTGTTGTATTTGTGTATATGGTCTGCTTTTAATCATCCTTAAGTCATAATAACGATAAATTAACTTTGTATTTAATAAATTAAAAGTAGGAACCAGCTTTATTTTGTCTGAAAAGTTTTATTGCTAGATTTGGCACTGTTAAAAAATATCCAAATTGAGTACACTTTTACGGGTTCCGCCCAATTTCCTTTTATCTCAATTTTCTTTATGAGATAGGATTTTAAATAAACCCTTGAAACCACTTAAGGAAGTAATTAATACTTAAATTTAATTAATTCGTTACTTTAATTTAAGTACCCCCCATTTATTTCCAAGAGCTTAAACATTGTACCTATCTATGTATGCTATTCAATGCTAGAAGTGTTATTTTGCATAGACCAAGTGAAAAAAACTTTTACTTACCAGCAGTAACAGAAAAATATTGGATATATCTCGACTTGTTAATTTTTGGGATCAACATTTTTTATTTAGTGCTTTTTCGGCGGACTCATCTTCGTTACCACTTTCGGCGACTGGTTTGCTGGCCTTTTCAACATATTCTCGCGCGTCAAGTTCGATTGAGACCATGAAATTGAGTCTTTTTATTTTCACCGCGACATGCTCCTATCAGTTCGAACAACTACTAGCTACAACGTTAGATACATGTTTCTGTCAATGTGAGTAAGATAAAGACGGCACTGTTTATAATTGACGGACCAGCGGATAGCGTATAAAAACAATAATAATTAATTAATAATTCGAACTCGGATGTACGTAATACGTGCAATTTGTTGTTTGACTTTTCAAAAATCACAACCTGACTTTGGTAAATAAACATATGACCATCGTATAGTATGACCAATGAATGATTCCTATGAGGAAACAAAACACTAGTAACTTCACAAACACTCTACATAGGTACGATCAAACAAACAATTACAACGAATGACAATTGTTTTTTTTTGTTTTAATTCTTTTTACTTTGTTTATTAGTTTTGTTTATGTACAGATGAGTTTAGTTCAATGCTGTTCCATTTTTATATCAATCTTTTGATAATAAAACATTTGCTGTATTTCAACACTCATTTCGGTCGTTCGATCCGATGTACCTGTATAAAATTTTGTTCACATTTTGGGATTTAACAGATAACAATCGTAAGAAAAAGGAATTAAGTAATCCGCTACTAGGTACTTATGCTTTAGGTATTAGTTTTAGGAACCTTGTTCTGAAACTCAAAATTTTATGGAGAATGGGAACGTTTGTTCTGTTACGATTGATAAAAATACTCTACTACTCCGAAAAAATAAAATTTGTCATAATAGGCCAATTTGGCATACCTGAAAGGTATAAACACGCATTTACTTTTTGATATAAGTATTTCATACACATTTACAAGTTGATTAACAATTCCCTAGAGGGGCTATTTTTAATTGAAGCTGTTTGAAGTACCCGAGATAAAAATGTTCAGTCTCTCAGAGTCTCTGAAAGCAAGACTCGAGTCTCCGTCTCTCATCGAGTCTCTCTGGTGTCGTTGAGAGAGACTGTCAAAAAAACTGTTTAGCGTCTCTGAACGAGAGACTCGAGTCGCTCATGGAGAGATCTTCATTTCGTATCCAGTCTCTGAAAGAGAGACTCGAATCTCTGCACGAAAGACTCGAATCTCTGAACGAGAGACTCGAGTCGCTCATAGAGAGATCCTCATTTCGTATCCAGTCTCTGAATGAGAGACCCGAATCTCTGAACGAGAAACTCGAATCTCTGAACGAGAGACTGGAATCTCTGCATTAACAATTTTATCGTTCGAGTCTCTCATACAGAGACTGTGAGAAGAGATCCATAAAAACACTCAGGCAATAACTGAGAGACTGTGAGAGACGCTCTGAGAGACGCTGAAAGACTCTGAAAGACTCTGAGAGACTGGAGAGAGACTCAAAATTTTTGTCTAGGGAGACTTAACACCCTTGGAGTTTGATTAATTCTGTGAATTATTGAAGTACTCATAAAAGTTAAAGTTGACACAATTGTAACAAGTTGTTATCACTTCTGCAATGTCTGAATAAAAATAAATCGATCCGCTTCCCGAGTTTGGCCACTGCCCAAATATGACGCTCCAAAGATGGGTCTTTTATGTTCAATTAAATTACCCTATTAAGCAATACCTCAGTCAAATAATTTTAAAAATCACTTCTATTATTATAGAGTTTAGTTTATACAAACGATCAAACTCAATGACTGATTTTATATATAGTACCTACAGTTTAGAGTGAAATAAAATACATTAAATCCAATATGAACTTAGTTTTGTAATAGATTTATACTATCCTGTGGCTTGTAGTACTATCTATTGTCATCAATAACAGCAATAAGCATTCGATTCATGCAGTTATGATAGATATAGTTGGGACATTTAAAATTGGTAAAATCTGGAATAAATTCTCTGTGAGAATGGACGTATCTTCTTTCTTGTTTCCACATGGGGCTGCAGTCATTTGCAGCGTTTTGAATAAGCTCTTGTTAAGTTAGGAAATGCTTCATGAGTAGTACAGACGAAGTAAAAAGAGATAACCGAGGATGAGGTTGCTTAAGTACGTAAAAGATCAGGGTCGGCTTTATAACTGCCTAGTTGGAATTATATCTTTAAACAAGTGTCTTTTATTTCCTAAATTCCTGAGAATGTTCAACTTCATTTAAAGTCTGATGATAGCAACATGCTCAAATTCTGCATGTTTGCATCTCTTTCTGTTGGCAATTCTCCATTTATTACCATTAATTATTATCAGTGGTAATCAAATGTCATTTGTTTAATGGAAATAGAATGGTAATTTTTCCTTCGGGTAGCCCGCGTTTTTCCTGTTGAAATACTTTATCGAATACTTTACTTGATACAAATTTTCATATGGTTATTTTTATTAAAATTCGGGTAGTAACGGTTTACAAACAGCTATTGATCTTGAAATTTATTGAATTATTTTTTACGCATGGGAAACTATTGAACAATATGACATTACATAATTTATTACATACACGCAATCACTGAAGCGAATAACACGAAAGAGACTTAAAATAACAAATAGATACACATATTTAGCAATTACTTTTTGAAATTGTTTTTAACATTGTGAAATCCTAAATTGTCACGGTAGAGAAATTAAAAAGAAGTAAAACACAACAAAAGGCCATTTAATATTTTCGTCAGTATTATTTAATTACTTATTCTGCGTAAGCAGGGCGTTTAAATAAATTTGGTATTTGAAACATTTAATGGGATTTTCGTGTTCAATCTTTATTTAATTTCCAAATTATCAATTTGTATTTACCGGTTTTAGCTAATGCTAAATATCCGATTTTATTTTCAATATAATTAATTATTTGCTATAGATGAACGCGGGAGGCCATTCTAGCTTTACGTGTAACAATAGAGAAAACGAATGAAAAATGAAAGAGTGCGTACATAGGATTTGTAGATTTAGAAAAAGCTTTTGACAATGTTTAATGGGACAAGATGTTAAATATACTTAAAAATGTAGGGATGAGTTAAAAAGATAGAAGAGTGATACTTAGTTTGTATAAAGAACTACAGGCAGTTATAGAGGTAGGGTTGCAACATAGAGAAGTAAATATTAGGAAGGGAGTCAGACAGGGATGCATAATGTCACCGGTACTTTTTAATCTATACATCTAAGACGCAATCAATATCATTAAAGACAGTACAACTGTAGGGATAGATATACAGGGGTAAAAGATTAGTATGCTTAGATTTGCAGATGATACAGCAGTATTAGCATCTAGCAAGGAGGACTTAGAGTTAGCTTTAAATAAAATGGAAGCGGTACTGACGAAAGAGTACTGTATGAAAATAAAATAAAAGTAAAACAAAAATACTGGTATGCAAGGGAAGAAAAAGTAGGGAAACAGCGAATATAAAGATAGGAGACGAAAAATTAGAAGAAGTGGCTGATTTTAGATAACTAGGAAGTCAGATAACTCAAGACGGAAGGAGTAGTAGGGATATAAAGCAGAGGATGGCGCAGGGTCGTGTCGCCTGAATTAGTTAATTTAGAAATTCGAAAAGGGTTGTTAAAGGTGTATGTTTGGAGCGCGGCGTTGTACGGATGCGAAACTTGGACAGTGGGTGCGGCGGAAAATAAAAGGTTAGAAGCGTTCGAAATGTGCTGTTCTAGGCGAATGATGAGGATAATGTGGATTGGAAAGGTTAGAAATAAAGAGGTATTAGAAAGAATAGGAGAACAGAGGAGTCTATGGAAACCAATAAGAAATTGGCGAGATGGGATGGTAGGACACGAGATAGGATGGTAGGACACTTGCTCAGGCATGAAGGTCTAGTCAGAGGCATATTAGAGGCAGAAAACGGAGCTGAGAGGGGTAGAGGTAGACCTAGATTAGATTATTGTTCGCAAATAGTTAAGGATATGGGTTGTTTTAGTTTTAGTGAAATGCGAAGATTAACTCAGAATAGGATGGAGTGGAGGTGCGTGTCCAACCAGTCTTAGGACTGACGACGATATGATGATGATGATGATGATAATTAAGTAAGTAATTGTATTAAAAATTTTGAATATAAAATAATATTATTTCCAATCTTTGTATACGTACATAATGTTAAAGTTCAGCGCAATGAAAAGATACGGTGATATTGAACTCAAAAGAGTTAAACAACAAAAAAAAACAAAAGTTTAACAGTGTAATTTATGTTAATAACAAAAAAAAAGCAAGTCATTTAGAAAACCAAATATAATTGGAACAATAGCAAATATTGCTTAAGTCACAGCATACACATTAACAATCCAAGAATATAAAATGTTCTTATATAAGTGTATAGCTTTAGTACGTTCCAAAATAGTATAGTATCCTGTAGGATATCCCTTAAGTCTAAGAACATTTTGTAATCTCACTACCATACGTAGTTGTTAAGTCACAATTGCAGGAATTGCATCCCATCCTTGAATAATGACTCACGTTAGGTTATTAAGAAAGAAGACTCCCGAGTGGTTCGTTTGAAGTGCTGTGCACCACAAAAGTATTTAAATTAGGGAAGGTTCAAATGGTTTCCCTGTTTTGGTATGGGCGATGACTATCATTAAAATGAAGTGAAGAATATGATACCCATTCATCCAGATTTGGATGATAATAGAGTATTACAATCCTGTATTTGACGAATGATTTTATAACATTCTACTATTTACATAAATTATATTTTGGTTAAGGCATATCCAGATAAACTCAAACAAAATTCGTAGTTAGCTACTTAACATCGGCAGTTTCCGCCAAATCCTTATAGATTTCCATTTGTATTTCTTGAAAAGATTTTCCTTTTGTTTCGGGTATGAAGAAGACGGTAAAGAAAATACCCAAAACACTGCATGTGCCGAACAACCAAAAGTTACCATACAATCCCCAAAATTCGTTCAGCGGTTCGTAGGTCATTTGAACGAGTACAGCTATAGGAGTCAGTAAGGCTCCAACCGTTCCTATCGCAATGCCTTTGACATTCATCGGATACAGTTCGGAAATAATGACTTGCGGCACCGGACTAATGCCAATGGTAATCGATATTTGAAAGACGACTAGAATAGTCAATGGTAACCACGATACAGGTGCCATATTAAATGATTTTGTTTCGTTAATGTAAAAGTACGCTCCGAGAACAAACATGGATATCGCACTGAAGATGCAGGAAATAATTAGCAGAGGCTTCCTGCCCCATCGATCCACCACTTGACCAGAAATGAGTACTAAAATTTAAATTTGTTTGATACGTGTGTATTATTTAGTAAATTGACAAATTAAAACCACTTACCACAAATAATGCTAGCTATTCCGAAAATCAAACTTGAAAGATTTGATGATATTGTGCTTTCGGCTGCGTTGAGTATTGTTTGCAAATACGATCCTATGATTGCGATACCGGACATGTAATAGACAAGATTTAAGCCTAAAATGAAAAGATTAATGGTGACACTAATATATTAATTGTGAAATACACTAAACCATACTGTAACAAGCGTTTGAAATCACACTCAAAATCTTTACATGAAGGCTCTGTAAGTAGGAACAGGACGTAGGAGTTTTGGCTTCTATCGAAAAGTTGTGTAATTTATCTCTTTACTGTGCTTTAGTTTAACGGGAATATTCATTGAATCTAAATTAGACGATATAGAGCAGTTATGGGTCTGGAGAAGCAACGTGTCACCGCTACTTTATAATCTATACATTTTGAAGACGCGATCAATATTATTAAAGACACGAAAACTGTAAGGGTAGATATACAGGAGCAAAAGATTGGTATGCTTAGATTTGCAGATGAGATAGCAGTATTAGCATCTAGCAAGGAGGAGTTAGAGAAAGCATTAAATAAAATGGAAGCGGTATTGACAAAACACTACTGTATGAAAATAAATAAAAATAAAACAAAAATACTGGTATGCAAGGGAAGAAAAAGTAGGGGAAGAGCAAATATAAAGATAGGAGACGAAAAATTAGAAGAAGTGGCCAATTTTAGGTATCTAGGAAGTCAGATAAGTCAAGAAGGATATAAAGCAGAGGATAGCGCAGGGTCGAGTAGCCTTCAATAAAAAGAAGTCACTTCTATGCTCGCGAACGGTTAAGGAAAAGGTTAGAAATGAAGAAATATTAAAATGAACAAAAGAATAGAGGACTCCATGGAAGTCAATAGGAAGTAGGCGAGATAGGTTGGTACACTTCGTTTAGTTTCTGTAGCGATGTGACCTTCAGTTTGACCGGCGCAAAGTAGAAAAGAACAGCACTAGGCCAGAAAAGAATAATCCGTACAGTACTGTAAGGAATATTTGATCATTTTATCCACTACAATTGCATTGCTCAAATGTGCTGTTATTGGTACCAATTACTACTGAAAATATCAACGAGATATTGAAGACATATTAAAGGCTTTAACGCTTGTTTTCGACTCGCACTATTATTCATGATTGAACGAAAGTTTTGGCAGGTACTGCATGAAAAAGTATGCTTAATGAACAAGAGTCGAGAGTATAATGAGCTTTTTTCTCCCTACCTATGATTTTGCCAGCGCGTATCCAAGACATTGGAAGGGGGATATCGCAGAGAAAGTAAATTAAGTATAGTACACCTTCTAAGGCATGAAGGGCTAGTCAGAGACATATTAGAGGCAGAAACTGAAGCTAACTGTAGTTAAGGATGTGGAAATGTTCTAGATTTGGAGAAATGCGAAGATTATCTCACGATAGCAAAGGGTGGAGGTGTGTGTCCAACCAGTCTTAGTACTGATGACCTTATGATGATGATAAATTACACATTTGTATGTCGACATTTTTACCCTTTTAGGTAGACTAAGCGAAAACCGTTATTAAAAAAAATCGGTTTTCTGTAAAGTCGGTTTACTGACGATAGTTGAACGTGACAACGTCATAAGAAAATACTGATGGAATGGTTTCATTTTTCAAAAGAAAATTTTAATTTTATTTGTTTGACAGATATTTTGTATGGATATAGAGAAGGAGGTAAATGGAAATGTATTATTGTATAGCAGCTGTCCACACGGACGCATCGCTCACTCAAGTAGGAGAGAGACAGATGTAGAACGCTGCCGAACGCGGAGGCCGATTGTGCCTCTTTGTTGCTCGTTCCGCGCTCACGCTTGCACTTCAAGCCTTAAATGGAACGCCTCAGAGCGAGGTAACGCCGCATGAGTCATGGTTTTTCATGCGTGCATCGAATTATAAGACGTTGTCACGTCAAAAAATGAATATTATCTTCACATACCAAAATGAAGTAGCATGGGTTTTATATATCTTCCATTGCAAACGACTTCATTAATCGATGATTTATTTGACATATCCTTCTGTACAGACTCAGTGATTTCCTGCAGTCTCTTTTGCACAAATTCTTTATCAGAAGCATTACTTGCAAGTTTCCATATTACTTTTTCTGCCTCTTCATATTTGTGCTTTTTAATGAGAAAATAGGGCGTTTCCGGAATTAGTAGAAGGCATACAATTGCAATTAATACCGTGCATATTGCCATAATTGCAAAAGCCCTGTAGGATACATACGGACCTATTATCAATCCGATAACAGATCCACAACTGTTTAAAATAGAATACAAAAACCCCAATATGCCTCTGTTATCGTTGTCCGAAATTTCTCCAATGTACATTGGTGAAATCTGAAAAGTATTAAGTTTTAATTAACATATAAATAGTACATAAATGCAAATGAGTTCTTTTTGGTCGTCGACGAATACCTGGAAGCCCTTTGTTTGAAGGTATTTTCTAAGGAGAATGTGAAATAATTTCTTTCAACTAAAATAATCCAAATAGTATTAGTTCTTGGACCATTCTATCGGTAATCTAATAGTGTTTTGAAATGGTGGAGGTGCCAGACAATAAACAATGAAATGTATTTGACTTCGTCTTTGTGAAAGTATTTATAGTTATTTATATTAAATACTTAAATACAATCATTACAACAAAAAACAAGCTAGTCTAGATTATTAGGCCTAATAAAAACAATCTCTGTCCTTTATGTCTGTAGAGTTCTTTCAAAGATTAATGAACACATAAAAATTTCTAAGGGTCTTTCGTATCTTAGCAGCATACAAATACCCATACGACTTTAGAAAAAGGTACTTCTTCCGATGTTACAAATGTTACACTTATGAACGAATGCCGCAAGCCATCGATACTAATGGCACCTTTCATGTTTCAGTAAATCTATAGTGAAAAAGAGGAAACTATAAGAATTTGTAGACACATCTACGTCATTAAATGCAATAAGTCAAGAAAATAGTTTAGGAAAAAAGCCTGTTCATTCTAAAATAAAATCGAATTCAATAGTTAATTTCCCATCAAATTTCGAAAACACAGCACCCAAGTTACCAACGTTTGTGGACAAGAAAAATAAAAAATTTCAAATTGAAGAAACACCAAATGGTGGAAATATTTCTGATATTAACCTATTTATACCTACCAATAAATAATGAAAAAATATCACAAAATTTGGTTGGAAAATATAATCCAATTTGGGGTTCTACTTGTGAAGTACCATTTTAATTTCTGTTGTTAGATAGAATAGTCAATTAATGAAAATAGCAATAAATCGTCACAGAATGGATTCCGTCCGATGTTTGTAAAATTTTTTTAGTATTTTACCATAAATATACAAAATATATTTTTTGTAATAGGTTAAAAGGTGCATATGTTGAACTATTACAAAAACTAGTCAATTTACTTTTAGAATAACACTTGTTTGAGTTTAGTGTGGATAAAAAATGGTGCATATCATATCATCTTCTCTACGAAATTTGGATAGTTAATTAGAGTGTAACACTACATAATAGTATAGTAAACGAAACGTGAAAATTAATAAACTGGAATTAATCTATAAAAGATACCTTCAATAACTTACTTGTGTACAAATGATTGATCCAATTCCAGCAATAATCCTTCCAATATACAAAGTAATTGAAGTACGAGCAAATAATATAAAAAACCAAGAGATTAAGTTTAATATATTACCAGCAATAAACATTACCTTCCTACCAAACGTGTCATATGCAGGGACTGTAAGGACGCTTCCCAAAAATAAACCCAAGCTATAAAGACTTACAACTAGAGCAGATTCTATCTAAAACATCAAAAAGTATTCCTCATTGTACTTTCTTTTGACATCAATTATTATCAATAGGGCTGTTGCCATTATTCTATTTTTTTCTTACTGTTGTTAGTTGTACGCCTATCGGGGAATCTTCAGATTCCAACTGTGGGATAAATGGAGAAGTCCATGTTCCATGAATTCCAGAGGCGGCCATCGACACCAACGCTGATAAGAGATTTATAACATATTGTCTGACAATGACAAAGTTCGTAAAAAAATGATAATAAACAAAATACAAGAAGATGACGTAAAAATGAATGGCATGTCTAAAGACCAATACATTTATCTAAGTGACAATAAATTTTCAAAACAAAAGTATTTGTTACTATGCCTGAATATTTTTGCAATTTGATTAGAAGGAAATGTACTATATACATAGCAGTTATCTGACACGTGCTTACAATCGTCCAATACTTAACAAAATTTGAGGATTTTTGCCTTCCATTATCATCTCTTTTATTTTATTATGTAGTGAACACGTACGTATGTCCCACGTGTATTAAAAGTATGAACAGTTGCGATATGATTTTGTTTTTTTATAGATTAATTTTAAAATGGAACAATAAGTTAGTTAACATATGATGTTTTACTTTTTAATAGCAGGCCCTAACGACAGGGTGACAGAATAACGGGTAAAACGTCACGGATCTCTGGCCTAGAAAGGCCTCTGTCACGAGTGACCGTGAAGGAATTTGGCAAAAAATATTAATTTTATATTTAATCAATTGAAGTTAGGTATTATCTCAATAATATACACGAATTATACAAATAAATTATCTTGATTTGAACATATTAATAAGGAAAAGATATGGCTCAGTTTTAGAACGTATTCATTACGTTAAGTTCATTTTTTTGCCGCTTTCAATTTTTGAAGGACTTTACGCTAGAGTCAAATGAGTATCAACTTTTTACGAAATTTATTCTGGTCTCTAGAAAACTTGGTAAGTGATTTTGTGATTTATAAAGATGAAACTACAATGTGAAGCTTCTTTATATTAAGAGTGAGTCCCATTCGATGATTTTACAATGACTCTTAGATGGCATAGTTACGTTACTACTCTACAATAATCAAATTGGTACGTAATTTTTTAAATATGCGAGGTTTGTTCAAAAAGTATCGCCAATTTTGTGCTTTTTCACTAATATTTATTTATGAATATCTATTTTGTTTCCTTCAAAGTAATCTCCACAAAATATTATACACATCTGCCAACGTTTCTTCCAATCCTCAAAGCAATTTAAAAAATTTATTTCTTCTTATCTTGTTCAGCTGCTTCTTTGATGCAGTTTTTGTCTTCTCAATGGTACTGTAGCGTCGTCTTTTCATGGGCCTCTTCAGTTTCGGGAACAAGAAAAAGTCACAGGGGGCCAGATCTGGAGAATTCGGTGGTTGCGGCATTATTAGTGTGTTGTTTTTGAACAAAAATTCAAACACAAGCAACGATGTATGAGCAGGGGCGTTATCATGGTACGAAAGTCAATTATTGTTCTTCCACAAATCCGGGAGATCCTGGCGGATTGGTTCACGTAAATTGCCCATAACTTGCATGTAATATTCCTTATTGACCGTTCTACCTTGTGACAAGAACTCATGATTCACCACGCTCCTGCAATCGATGAAAACTGTAAGCAAAACCTTTCGACCTAACGTTTTTATCGGTCTTGACTCGTGCAGCAGCTTTCATTGGGGTGATTGAGCTTTGGTTTCCACGTCATAATCATAAACCCATGATTTATCACCAGTTATGACCCTCTGGAGGAAATTCTTAGCAACGTTAATGCGAACTTGTCTTTGGTCGAAACTGAGAAATTTGGTACGAATTTCGCGGCGACCCGTTTCATGCCCAAATCACTGGTAAAAATCGAATGGCAGGAGTCAATCTCCTCAGAAACTTGTCTAACGATTGGCCAATACTATTTTCTTTACTTCATTAATGTTTTCGTCTGGTGTTGACGTTGTCAAAAATTAATTGAACATTCAACATAGCCGAAATTTTAAATTTCAAAATTTGCAATCCTTTTTAACAAACCTCGTATATTAAACCCATGTTAAACAATTGTATAGAAACTAAATGTATAAGAACTAAACATTTTTCAAAATATAGGTACAAGATTTCGTACATGGACACAGCAAGAAGGACTGTTATTTGTGGATCATTGGAAAAAAATCAGAAAAAGGATTTATAATTTCAAATAAAGTTGGTCATAATTAACAGTATGTATTCAATATTATTAACTAAATTTTATGGAATCATCCATAAATAGCTTACCACTGATGCAGTACAAATATTGTCTGTACCTCCATTTGGAAATAATCTCTTGTAACATTTTGAGGAGGATAGATATAAGTGCAGTTTGTCCGCAACTGTTACTAACTGTTAACACTGTTTCATCCGATAAAATTAAAAAAAAATTATCTACACATACATTCCAAAAGCGCACTGTAATTGTCTGCCAACTTTTCGACTTATTTAATAAAAAGAGCGCGCTTTTATATCAAATCAGTCTACTTAGACAATTACTTTAATAATGCAATTTATCTTTTCGATTATTTTAAGGTATAATGGTTTTTCGATATCTGTCTAGAGTATTAGTAGATACAATTATATGTAAAACTTCCGTGTTAAGCTGCTCAAAACCAAACGCGTTGAAATAAAATAATGCATGAGAAAAGAGCATTCATTATAAAATGTGCTAGCTTCTTCTTGTCTTACAATTTGATAATACGAATATACGGTCGATCGATCTACCTAAGTGTAACCAGTTGGAAAAAAATCGAGTTAAAGATACTTTCTAGCCTCCATTCGAATTTTTTCGTTTTTGTTTACTTGGGACGTTCAAAATTCGTAAGAAAACGTCGTATTTATTTAGCTTACTGACTAGACTAGAGCAGTAGGAAAGAGATGTCAGGTAGGAATTGCAGCGGACACTACAAAAAAAAGAATAACTACACCAATAAATGTATAACAGAATTTGTCTGTACTCCTCATGAAGCATTTCCTAACTCAATAAGGGCGTTTATAAAACGCATTAAATTATTGAGTCTCAACTGGAAGCACGAGAGAAGATATCTTCATTCTCACAGATAATTTATTACAAATTTTAATTGTCCGAACTATATATAAGTAACTGTTGTATTGGAATAGGTCGTTTGTCCTAATTTGTATTATTTATTGGTTACTTTTTCTTGTTAACAAGAATACATCAGTACAGATTTAGACCATTGCTTAGGATTCGGAAGGACGCCAGTTCGATTCCGGGTCTGTCTGCCTCGGTCCAAGTTTTTCTGTGGTTTCCTTGGATCATTTAGGAGGCAAATGCTGGGGCAGTAATATTCCACAGATAATCTTTCATTCTCTTGTGATTTTATTTCGTTAGTCTCATGTTTCTGACCCCAATAACCACCCGAGATTCCTGAAAGGAGGTTAAAGGGTACCTTCCGCCCTATCTTCCAGCGTAATGCGGAGGGACTGCTCGCCCACCAGCATTACTGGCTGGTAGGAATGAATCATCCAAAAGTTATTTTTTCTCGTAATGAATGTTAAACTGTATTACAACTGTCGAACGATGGAGATAACGATAAAGGAGTGAAAATTAACAATCTAGACCTAAAGTGTTTTTACCTTCTTGAAGTACTCCATATCATTGACGTTTAATTGAACAACGGAATTTGATTAATTTCATGCGAGACTTGAATGTCTGTATGATAAGCTAAATTACTTCGAACTAGAGTACAACAGCGGAACGTGTTGGCAAACCGAGTTCAAAAATACTGTGCTGTGAAAACGAAGCAATGAAATTTCTTCATTTTACTTTAACTAAAGGAGAAGTAAAAGAACTTGAACAGCGGCGCCAAAGTCATGCAACCCAAGCAAGATGGGTTAATTGCTGCTGACGTTTGAAGTCACATTACTTTACATATTTTGTACATTAAATTTTCTTAAGCCGTATATTTTATTTTTAAAGTGTGCAGATAAGTTAATATGAATTTTTATCATTGGCTTTTCTCTAATCAATTGTTCAATAGAATTAAATTTTTTTGTTTAATTAATGACTGTGCCAAAAAAAAAGTAGATAATAGTGTCGGAAAACTTTAAAGAAGGTAGTGGTGAGGAAAATCGATCTTGCGAAAATGCAAGATCAAAACATCGAATATGCAAGACTAAGATCAAGACTAAACAAAAAATTCCGGTGGATTTTCAAGCAATTTTAATACATCTAAGTAAATAGAACAACATATTTTTTGTATTTGAAATTGTAAATTTTCTTTTACTAGACTTTAACACTAAATTAAAAAAAAATAATAGCTTTACCACTATTTGAAAAAGAGCATCTACAAAAATCTAAGTGTTCTTTGTTCCTATATCTGGATAACGCATGGTTGAAATATGGAGTCAAACTAATTCTTTTTTAGATATTTTGTACTTCTTTCAAATAGGCAGCTTGTACTATTTTGTTTGCTAGAAGGTCAATTTATGCCTTGATGGAAGGGTAATTTTTCGAGTTTTCACAACTCTCAAAAAATTTCAGCATTTAAGATTCAAGACAATTATTGTACCGGTAAAGAGAAAAATTTGTGCTTACAATTAAAAGAACTATTAGAAAAAAGCGTCTGTATTAGATTAAATGAGTAAGACCAAGACTTAACACGCAAGACCAAGTCCGAGGCTATATCAGTAGGACTAAGAATAAAAGTATTTGATCAAGACAATGATAGTCCTGGTCTTGGACTGGATCGTCAGTAAATGAAGGAACAAGGTGCTTAATTGTTTTTTCTCAACATCATTAACGACAGTACAACTGTAGGGATAGATATACAGGGACAAAAGATTAGTATGCTTAGATTTTCAGATGATATAGCAGTATTAGCAATTAGCATCTAGTAAGGAGTTAGAGATAGCTTTAAATAAAATGGAAGCGGTATTGACAAAACAGTACTGCATGAAAATAACTAAAAGTAAAACAAAAATACTGATATGCAACGGAAGAAAAAGTAGGGAAAGAACGAATATTAAGATAGGAGACGAAAAATTAGAAGAAGTGGCCGATTTCAGGTATCTAGGAAGTCAGATAAGTTAGGATGGAAGGAGTAGTAGGGATATAAAGCAGAGAAAAACGCAGGGTCGAGTCGCCTTCAATAAAAAGAAGTCACTTCTATGCTCGTTAACAGTTAATTTAGAAATTCGAAAAAGGTTGTTAAAGGTGTGTGTTTGGAGTACGGGTACAAAACATGGACAGTGGGTGCGGCGGAAAAGAAAAGGTTAGAAGCGTTCGAAATGTGGTGTTACAGACGAATGATGAGGATACCGTGGATAGAAAAGGTTAGAAATGAAGAGGTATTAGAAAGAGTTGGAGAACAGAGGAAGTCAATAAGAAATAGGCGAGATAGGTTTGTAGGACAACTTCTCAGGCATGAAGGTCTAGTCAGAGACATATTAGTGGCAGAAACGGAAGTTAGACGGGCAGCTGTAGACCTAGATTAGATTACTGTTCGCAGATACTTAAGGATATGGGTTGTTCCAGTTTTAGGGAAATGCGAAGATTAAATCTTATGATGATGATGATTTGTATAACGAACTGATGATTTGTGATTAATAATAACATTTAATTTTGGAAAACGTCAACGATATCTAAAGTACCTGATTTATTTCCATGTGATTAGAATCATTGCAAATTAAAAAAGAAAGAAAAAACTAATTAAATTTTGAATTGTTTCTTTTATCAATCAGTTAAAGGGTAAGATACAGGCACTTCACACCATACCTACAATGTAATAAAAAAAAAATTATATGACTAATAACATTTTTGGTTTGTCACTTAAACATTTAAGAATTTTCGTTTGATATAATTGTTGTTAAGTTGTTATTCAAAAAGCAGCAATAGATTTTCTTATGAAAATTGAGTTTTAGTGAAATGTTGAAAATTAAAAAAATATATAATTACAATTTTAATTCATACTATCACTATTAAAAACCCATTTACATATGATTAAGACCATTTCGATTTAGAAACAAAATAAAAAATTAAACCACGAGTTGTTCTATTGTTCCTTTTATCATATGACTCAGACACATCATACTCCACACTACAATAATGCTCAAAGAAAGAGATAATGTAATACAGCCTAATTAGAAAATAGACTTTTGTTTTGTAATCTAAACATTTTAGAATATAAGTGCTTATTTTTAATTATAATCCCCAACGGCACACAAATGTTTTACCGCATAACAAAAGACACTAACATGGAGGTGAGTAAAACACCCCATAATATTCTGATGAAAATTGAGTTTTGGTGGAATCAGTTGAAACCATGCAGCAAGCTGTTTTACTAAGATGTAACTAGTGGCAGCTCGTACCTAATAGCTGTCTACATTGGGAAGGCTAACTCTGCTTCATCAATTAATAATGTATTTCTATGTACAAATCAAAGCACATCGAATTTAAAAAAGTGATAATTTGTTCTGACCAAGAAAGGAAAAGACGTAAAGAATTAGGATAAGGTAGAGAAAGTCAAATTTAAAAATTAATAATCAACACTGTCAGGCACTTATTCCCAGCGGCGATAATTCCTACCAGATGCTTCAATGCTTTATTTCAATACTTTTTGTAAGCAGCCAGACCAATTCTAGAGGCCAAACATTCCACAGACGCAATCAATGTCGTTGTGAGTCTATCCCATCCGTTTTGTGTACTCAAAAAATAAATAATGTCTGGCGGCTCTGGAATCTTGCTCTACATGGAAAATTCAAAGTTACGACGACACAACAAAAAATTGAGGTATTTCGTTCCTACCAGCCACTAATGCCGGTGGGTGGACAGTCCCTTCGGGCTAAGCCGGAAGGTAAGGCGGGAAGCCTTCATCAGCCTCCTTTCAGGAATCATGGGAATGAGTGAGAATGATGAGACGGACGAAATGAAGACAGAACACCTGCAGGTGATGCGAGTTGAAGCCCTGCAAGAACGTTGGCGGCCGTGACGTCAGTGTAGGCGTGGAGGGGGGTAAAGTTGGAGAAAATACATGGGATTTTCAGGCCAAACGAAGGTAGTCTATCTACTAACTATATAAAAAAAGAAAACGAGAAAAATAAAAATTTATTTTAAACAATACAGTTTATAATACATCATTAGAACCTTCCAGTTTCTTGATTTTTATTGTTTATAGATTTTTCGCTTTTTCGTCGATTGAGTATCCTCTGAATCTCGTCAAATGATTTTCCTTTTGTTTCCGGGAGTACGAAGAGTCCGAAAAGGAATCCTAGAAAGCAGCAAAAACTGAAGAACCACATGCAGGTGTATTCTCCCAAAGTTTCGCTCACGGGCTGAAATGCAAACTGAAGACCAATGCCTAACGTTTGTGACAGTAACGTAACTGTGGACAATGCAACAGCCTTTACATTGATCGGATACAATTCTGAGGCGATCACGTAATGTATGGAAAGAATTCCAATCGCAACGAACACTTGAAAAAGTACCAAACTGGTAACCGGTAACCAGGAAATTGCATCAATATTATAAGAAGTGGCGTCTTGAAGATAAAAGTATAATCCTAAAGATAACATGCTTATAGAACACAACAAACTGGAGACCATGAGCAAGGGTCTTCTGCCAAAACGATCAACAATTTCTCCGGAAGCTAGAGCTGGAAATTCATTCGTATTAATTTCTTTTATTGATGGTTAAATTTACCCAAAATTATTTACCACCAACAAAATTGACGATTCCAAAAATGACACTTGCAGTGCTCGATGACATACTGCTTCCTGTTGCGTTAATAATAGTTTGCATGTACGATTTAATTACGCCATTACCACAAAAAACGAATACCATCTTCACACCTATAACAAATATAAGTCTAAATCAGTCACATTATCAAAAGAATAAATAAACTACTTACAGGTGTGCATAAACAGCGGTTTTCTATAAATCTTTAAGTTGAAGAGCTCACAAATAGTTCCTTTATTTTGCATGTCTTTTTCTACTGAAGAACTGATGCCTTTAAACTCTTTTTCAAAAGATGCTTCGTCAGATGCATCATTGGCCAGTTTTTTAATCACCTTTTTGGCTTCTTCTTTTTTTCCTTTTTTGATTAAATGATACGGCGATTCTGGTATGAAGAAGGTACTTATTACAGGAATAATCGAGGCACATACTGAAATAATTGCGAATGTTTTAAAGGACACATAAGGCCCTATAATAAATCCTATATCCGTTCCAAGAATTTTCAAAATTGTCATAAGAAAATTCAGCCGACCTCTGTTATCATTGTGTGATATTTCACCAAGATAAATGGTACCACACTAAAAAGAAGTACGCTGAGTAAGTGAACACTCAAAGTTGATCGAAACGGACAACAAAAATGTATTTCGACTGTTTCCATTATTTTAATTTGAGAATGTTGTTACAGTCTTGTAATTAACGAAATTATTGCTGTAAGAGATACTAGCAGAATTGTCGAGTGTAACAATTGTTAAATATCAGGGATATTTTTCATTCCCAATGATGGGTAATAATCCGAACACTGAGAGTTAATATAGAGTTTAAGAGTTTACTAAATTCGAAGAATAGTTTAGTATCATATAAACTATTGATCCAGAATCGTTGAATAGTACAGAAGCTAAAGAACTGGAATTCCCACAAATAGCTCTCAGTTTTAGGGTAATATCAGATTTTTTTGATTATCGTTACATCACCAAATAGTAATGCTTCACGACACCGAGACGATACGATTTTTTCAAAAGTATCAAATATTGATTTCGAAAAATATTGTACTATCGTATCGATAACGAAAACGGAAACATCTTATCGCATTGATTAAAAAATATAAAATTTTAATTGTTGTATTTAAGAGAAATCAAAACTTGTGATTACGCAAAAACATAGAATAAGACACGTTTAACTCTATGCTCGAAAGATATTTTGAGTTCTTTAGCGTTGTCTATACTCCTGTCGATCGATTTCTTTTCAGAAGGGTTGTGGTACGAGCAAGATTATGTGCATAAATGATATACGAGGTTTGCTCAAAAAGTATCGCGAATTTTGAATTTCCGCGGGTTACATATGTTCGATTGTTTTATGGCGTTATGTTGGTACTCATGTCTCTCATTTATACCGAGAAGTTTGGCCATGTTGAATGAGAAGTTAAATTTTGACAGCTGCTTTGCTTGTACGTGTTTTGTGTGAAAAACAAAATTAAGTGCGCCGACGCATTCCGAATTGCTGAGGAGATTTTGAGTAGCCGCGAAATTCGTACCAAAATTTCTCAATTTCGACCAAAAATAGCATCGCATTAAGATTGCTAAGGAACTCCGCCACTACCCAAATTTGCTTCAGAGGGTCATAAATGGTGACGAATCATAGGTTCATGGTTATGACGTGGAAACCAAAGCTTAATCATCCCAATGGAAGCTGCCGCACGAGCCAAGATCGCAAAAAGCGCGCGTAAGTTACGTAAAATGTGAAGGTTTTGCTTACAGTTTTCTTCGATTCCAGGGGCGTGGTGCATTATGAGTTCTTGCCACAGGGTAGAACGGTCAATAAGGAATATTAACTGGAAGTTATGCGCAATTTGCGAGCACCAATCCCCCAGAAACGCCCGGATTTGTGGAAGAACAACAATTGGCTTTTCCACTATGATAACGCCGCTGCTCAAACTTCGTTGCTTGTGAGCGAATTTTTGTCCAAAATCAACACACTAATAATGCCGCAGCCACCGTATTCCCCAGATCTGGCACCCTGTGACCTTTTCTTGTTCCCGAAACTGAAGAGGCCCGTGAAAGGGCGACGCTAGGCTACGATTGAGGAGATAAAGACGGCATGGAAGGAGAAGATGAACAAGACTACAAAAAACGATTTTTTGAAGTTTTTCTAGGATTGAAAGAAAACGTTGGCACAAGTGTATAATATCTGGTGAGGATTACGGGGATTAATGGGACATAATAGATATTCATGAATAAGTAAATAATTTTTGATAAAACACAAAATTCGCAATACTTTTTGAACAGACCTCGTATGAACCTATTCTGTGCTTAGCAAACCTTAGATACTCAGTGGGCTTACGTTTAGAGAAATTACTATAGCTATTCCGCCCATCAATCTGGATGCACATAGCATTGTTATCCCATTTGCGAAGTACATTAAAGCCCAAGATATCAAATTACAAATTCCTGCTGCAATTATAACGGCCTTCCTTCCAAAAACATCTATTACCCACATGGTAGGAATGCTGGCCAATGTGCCGCCTACATTGTACATACTTACGACAGTTGATGATTGAATCTGTAGATAAGATAAAAACGAAATTGGTGAGTGTAATATCTTACAAGTTTGATTGGATTTATTTCATCGTTGGTAATAAGTCACTTCTTTATAAACGACTCCTCTCTTAGAAATATAAAAATTATCTTATTTTGTTAACTATAGTTATGACTGGAGCAACCATAGAAAGGCGAATTTCGTAATATATAATATTTAAACTGGAGGTAGAGATTACTGATGAGCAAAATTGGTTTTGGTCTTTGACCAAGACTGTCTTTATATTAGCAAGATCAAGATCAAAACCGAACAAACAAGATCAAGACTAAAACCAAGAACGAATATGCAAGATTAAACGAAAAATTATTACCTCCGGTGGATTTACGAGTTCAGCTATTTGAAGCAAGTTTAATATATTCTTTAGTTGGAAGAAAACATTTTGCATTTGAAATTTTTAGTTTGTTTTACTAGATTTTAACTAAATTAAAGAAAAAAAAAAAAGAATACCGCTGTTCGCAAAAGGTTATCTACAAGAATGTCCCCGAAGTAAGTGTCCTTTGCTCCTATGTCTGGATAGCACATAGTAGAAATATAACAGGTCAATTGAAAAGTCCCCGGCCTAAAATAGTAAAACACATTTTTTTTGCAAAATTCGTTTTTTTTATTCAACATAATTCCCTTCAAGGGTGATACACTGATTATAGCGATCCTCCAACTTTTCGATACCATTTTTGTAGTACGATTTGTCCTTTGCTTCAAAATAGGCCTCAGTTTCGGCGATCACCTCTTCATTCGACGAAAATTTTTTCCCAACGAGCATTCTTTTGAGATCTGAGAACAGGAAGTAGTCGCTGGGGGCCAGATCTGGAGAATACGGTGGATGCGGAAGCAATTCGAAGCCCAATTCATGAATTTTTGCCATCGTTTTCACTGACTTGTGAGACGGTGCATTGTCTTGGTGAAGCAGGACTTTCTTTTTCTGCAAATGCGGTCGTTTCTCGGCGATTTCGTCCTTCAAACGGTCCAATAACGCTATGTAATAGTCGCTGTTGATGGTCCTTCCTTTTTCAAGGTAGTCAATGAAAATTATTCCACGCGCATCCCAAAATACAGACGCCATAACCTTGCCAGCCGACTGTTGCGTTTTTGCACGCTTTGGAGCGGGTTCATCGTGTGCAGTCCACTCCGATGACTGTCGATTGGACTTCGGAGTGAAATGATGGAGCCATGTTTCATCCATTGTCACATATCGACGCAAAAACTCGGGTTTATTACGCGTGATCATCTTCAAACACTGCTCTGAATCATCAACTCGTCGTTGTTTTTGGTCAAAAGTGAGCTCGCGCGGCACCCACTTTGCACAGAGCTTTCTCATACCCAAATATTCGTGAATGATGTGATGTATACGTTCCGTTGATATCTGTAGAGTGTCTGCTATTTCATTCAATTTCAATTTACGGTCATTCAAAATCATTTTGTGGATTTTTTTAATGTTTTCGTCCGTAACAGCCTCTTTTGGGCGTCCACTGCGTTCACCGTCTTCGGTGCTCATTTCACCACGTCTAAACTTAGCATACCAATCCTTGATGGTTGATTTTCCTGGGGCAGTGTCCGGAAATTCGTTATCAAGCCAAGTTTTTGCTTCAACTGTATTTTTTCCCTTCAAAAAGCAATATTTTATCAACACGCGAAATTCCTTTTTATCCATTTTTTTCACAATAACAAAAGTTGCTTCACTAAAAATGCTATAATTCACAAACTAATGATCCGACAGCCGTCAAATTTATAGACGCGTCTTTTGAAGGTTAGGACTAATTGAAAATCATATGGATTTAGTTCTGGTGCCCCCATCTATGTGTCAGGCCGGGGACTTTTCAATTGACCCTATATATAGAGACAATTTTTTTAGATATTTTTAATTGTTTCAAGTGCTTTATACTATTTTCTTGCTGAAAGACCAATTTATGTGTTGGAGGCAAATTATCGAGTTTACATAACTGACAGCTATCGACACTATTTTCTTTAAAAGTCATGATAAGCTCGCATGACTGACAGAAAACTTCTCCATCTAAGGCAACTACTGTGTCGGTAAATAGAAAAATCTGTACGTAAATATCAGATTAAATGAGGAAGATTAAGACTTAACATGAAAGGTCAAAACCAAGACCAGATGTATTTGAGCAAGACCAAGACTAATACCAGACCTGGAGCAGTCTTGGTTTTAGCCTTGCTTTGCTCATTACTACTAGACAACATCAATTTATTTAGTTATTGACTTCGCCTTCCGAAATTGACTCTTGTTTATAAGATACAGCTTAGATTGTAATCAATTTTATTGTTATTAATAATTGTTTGAATAATAAATAAATTTACGAAAACTTTTTTACTAACTGTATCCAACTTAACGCCTACTGGTGAATTTTCCGATTCTAGTTGAGGTAGAAATGACGAAGACCAGGATTCATGAATAGATGTGACGGCCGCGGTTGTAATGGCTTGTTAAACAAAGACAAATGAACATTATTTTCGATCACGTCTTGCTTTTTCTTAATACATACCACAAATGCAGTAAAAATACTGTCTATAACGTAAATTTAACAATTTAGTTTGTAACATCCTTTCTGCTGGTTGGGTATTGCACAGTCAACTGTACGAATAACATAAAAAATGATTGAGCTAATGCGTAAGCACCTAATTGCTTACGTATTATTTAATCATATAATATATTAAATTGATAATAATAGATAAATGGTACCTATATCTCAGCGTTCCCCACATTTACGAAAACGAGTTATTAAAGAAAAATATCTTTAAAAGTACGGTAAGCCTCAGTTGGATGATTAAAAAGATTTACAGTACCAGGTCTGTTCAAATAGTATCGCAAATTTTGTGTTTTATCAAAAATTATTTATTTATTTGTGGCGATTTGATAGTTTTCAAGAAAATAATTAATTTTTTAGAGTGAATCATTAAGTGTGTGGTTATGTATATTTTTGGATATGTCTGTGAAAACTTTATTACTTGTATTTGTGTGTTTGGAATTTCTATACTTTCGTATTATTATTGTGTAAATATTCTTTTCTTATAATTCTATTTCTAACTTCACCATACGCCACGGTCAACATTCGGAATGCGTCCGAGTGCTAAATTTTGTATTTCACACAAAATTTGGCACAGATTCTTTGATCCATTGTTTTGGAATAGGCAAAAATCGAAGGTGAGCCAAAACTAGTGTAAGCGAAGCAGCTGTCAAAGTTTAACGGAACATTCAACATATCCGAAGTTGTCGTTATAAGTGAGAGACATGAGTACCAACATAACGCAACACAAAAATCGAAAATCGAATATACGTAACCCGCGGAAATTTAAAATTCACGACACTTGTTGAACAGACCTTGTACATTCAAATTATTGTTTAGCTGATAAATGTATGTGTTTTAAGGGTGGGGAAAATTAAAAATTAAGCACTGATCCGTATATGCTTCAAATTAAAGAGAAAGAAGAATTTCTCTTCATTATCGTAACGTAATTGAGGGCTTGGGCCCTTGAGAAATTGTATCTCCCTCGACAACATCATCATTAATTCGTTAGTCCTAAGACTGGCTGAACACGCACTTCCACCCTTTCCACTCCTGAGCTAATCTTCGCATTATCCTAAAATTAGAGCATCCCAGATCCTTAACTATTTGTGAACAGTAATCTAATCTAGGTCTACCTCTACTCTTCTTAACTCCTGTTTCTGCTTCTAATATGTCCTTCTCGGATAAGAATGGATAGATAGAGGCATATTAGAAGCAGAAACAGATGTTAAGAGGGTAGAAGCAGACTTAGTTACATTACTGTTCATAAATGCTGTAGTTAGACAACAAAAATGCAAGAGTTAAAACAATGTAAATATACAATACAATTGAAAACAATTAATGCTAGAAAGGTTTACTTGTTGAAACTCCATAATCAATTAAAGGAAAGGAAACTAAAGTTTCAAAAATATATATTAATTGTTCACAACAATTTTTTCGCCATAACATTGGCTTCTTCAGGTGAAGATATTCTGATTAAAATTGTTACAAAATTAGTCTACAAATTTTATGGGGTGGGAACAACGGAAGGGTGGGATAATGTAAGACATTAAGTTTTTGAAGACAAATTTAAATTTAATAATGGAGAACTGTTTAGATCAATTTAATAAATTAATAAAACATTTAGTTTATTGAATTAAAAACGTCGTTATAAGTCTTGGTACGTTGTCATTAAGAATCAATTGTACATACTATAGTACGTACCATAAAATAATCTGGTACCCAATAGGATATCCTTTTAGTTTAAGGACTTCCTGTAATCTGACTGTCATTAGAAACACTAGTCTGTTGGTCAGACAGTTGTAGGAATGGTGTTCTGCTAGTCAGGTTAGGTTAGGCTAGGTTATGGTGGGAAATGAGTCCCTTATTGGCTTGTGTGAAGTGCTATGCACCAAGGATTTAGGTAAAGGTATGGTCTAAACACTAAAGGTACAGTTTCGGCTATGGTATGGGTGATAACCATTATTAAGCTAAGCTAAGCATTACTGATAACGCTTATGGTACGGAAGATACCACCTACAACGATACCCATCCATCCAAATTTGGACGAGTTCAAGTAATACCTAAATAAAATACAATCCTGCTTTTGCCATTAACATTTTACTTTTTACATAAATTATGCTTTGGTTAAAGTTTAACTCGAACAAAATTCCTCACTGTTACTTAGCGTCATCAGTCTCCACCCATTTCTTGTTGATTTCCATTTGTATTTGTTGAAAAGATTTTCCTCTTGTTTCAGGTAAACAGAATATTGTAAAGAAAATACCGAAAATACAGCATGCAGAGTACATCCAAAACGAACCATACAATCCCAACCAATCGTTCAGAGGTTCGTAGGTCATTTGAGCGATTACACTCAAAGGATTAAGCAGTGTTCCGATTGTTCCTATCGCAATACCTTTGACGTTCATTGGATACAGTTCGGAAACAATCACTTGAGGTACGGAATTGATACCAATGGCAATGAATATTTGATAGACGATTAGAATGGCCAATGGTAACCATGTCACCGCATGCATATCAAAAGATTTAGTGTCGTTAATGTAAAAGTACGCCCCGAGAGAACACATAGAAATCGCACTGACGATGCAGGAAGTAAGCAAGAGAGGCTTCCTTCCCAATCGATCCACCACTTGACCAGAAATGAGTACTAAAATTTAAGTTTGTTTGATGCTTGTGTTTTATTTGGTAAATTAACAAATTATAACCACTTACCAGAAATAATGCTAGCTACTCCGAAAATTAAACTTGAAAGATTGGATGATATTGGGCTTTCGATTGTGTTGAGTATTGTTTGCAAATATGATCTGACGATCGCGATACCCGACATGAAGAAAAGGAAATTTAAACCTAGAATGGAAAGGTTTATGTTAGTAGCAATGTATTGCGTTTGAAATGCACTAAAATGTACTGCAACAATCATAATAATCTTTACACCAGGGCTCTGCTAGTATTAGGTGTTCTTGTTAGACTTAGGCGTTTTGTGGTCTCTGTGGATTACTTGCATTATACTCTTGTACGTGCCTATTTATTGAATGTATAGATAAGGTAAAATTTTTATCAACCCTGGAATTTACATAATTCTTTATTGACATAGATATTTTTTAGTGAAAATGCATAATTTGATAACGATGTGTGTAGTATAAATACTTAAAAATGTAGGGATGAGTTACAAATATAAAAGAGTGATACTTAGTTTGTATAAAGAGCAACAGGCAGTTATAGAGCTGGAGCTTCAACGTAGAGAAATAAATATTACGAAGGAAGTCAGACAGGGTGCACATTGTCACAGATTATAGACAGTAGAACTGTAGGAATAGATATACAGGGGCAAAAGATTAGTATGCTTAGATTTGCAGATGATATACAAGTATTGACAAAACAGTACTGTATGAAAATAAATAAAAGTAAAATAAAAATACTGCTTTGCAAGGGAAGGAAAAGTAGGAAATGAGCGAATATAAAGATAGGAGACGAAAAAATAGAAGAAGTGGCCGATTTTAGGTATCTAGGAAGTCAGGTAAATCAGGACGGAAGAAGTGGTAAGGATATAAAGCGGAGGATAGCGCAGGGTCGAGTCGCCTTCAACAAAAAGAAGTCACTTTTATGCTCGCGAACGGTTAATTAAGAAATTCGAAGGAGGTTGTTAAATGTTTATGTTTGGAGCACGGCGTTGTACGGGTGTGAAACATGGACAGTGGGCGCGGCGGAAAAGAAAAGGCTAGAAGCGTTCGAAATGTGGTGTTGCAGGCGAATGATGACGATACCGTGGATAGAGAAGGTTAGAAATGAAGAGGTATTAGAAAGAGTAAGAGAACAGAGGACTCTATGAAAAGTCAATAAGAAATATGCGAGATGGGTTAGTAGGACATCTTCCCACGCATGAAGGTCTGGTCACAGAGACGTATTAGAAGGGATAGAGGTAGACCTAGATTAGAGAACTGTTCGCAGATAGTTAAGGATATGGGTTGTTCTAGTTTTAGAGAAATGCGGAGATTAGCTCAGGATAGGAAAGAGGTGGTACGTGGTGGAGGTACGTATCCAACCAGTCTTAGTACTGATGACCTTATGATGATTATGATGTCTATCTGAAAATGTCAGCTGCATTTATATTTACATAAAATATTTGCCCTAATTTTTCTATAGATACCACATCGTACTTTCCAAAAGATGATGACGATCAAATTTAATTTCCTAGGTGGATGGTAAGAATACCAACAATAATCTCGTAATTTGAGAGCCTCAGACCGCCGTGTCAAAAATAAGGAAAAAGATAATATTATCTCCTCTTACCAACATGGAGCAGTAGAGGCCTTGTATATTTTCCACTGCAAAGAAGTTCCTTTATCGACGTTTTGTTCAGCATATCCTTCTGTACAGACTCAGTGATTTCCTCCAGTCTCTTTTTCACAAATTCTTTGTCAGAGGAATTGCTTGCAAGTTTCCATATTACTTTTTCTGCCTCTTCATGCTTGTGCTTTTTAATGAGGAAATAGGGCGTTTCCGGAATTAGTAGAAGGCATGCAATTGCAATTAATACCACACAGAATGCCATGATTGCGAAAGTCCTGTAGGATACATACGGACCTATTATCAATCCGATAACAGATCCACAACTACTTGAAATAGAATAAAAAAATCCCAACTTGCCTCGATTATCGTTGTCCGAAATTTCACCAAGGTACATTGGTGAAACCTAGAAATTTTAAATTTTAATTAGTATATAATCGGTACTCAACTGAAAATGAGTTCTTTTTTGGTCGTCAGCGAAAACCTGGCGACCTTTTAATTTGTATTTTCTGAGTAGGAAATACTTCTAGGACCATTCTTACAATATGGAACAGGTAGCGTTAAATCAATGGTATTTTATAATGGTAACCAAGCAATAAAAATGTATTTGACTTACTCCACGTGAGTAGTAATTAAAGAATTTAATTGTTATTTCGATATTACAGACAAATACATCAATTTTATGTATATCATTGAAATATGTATGGATTTACGTATTGTCATGAACGAATGCCGCAAGCCATCGATACCAATGGCACCTTTTATGTACCCAAAAGCCGGCAGCCGCGAGTCAAAAACTATATTCCGAACAAAACTTCAAACACACCCCACAGGAATGAATCTGTAAAGAATATGGGAACTTACATGCATACATATAACTGCTCCCATTCCAGCAATAATCCTTCCAATATATAACGTAATTGGAGCACGAGCAAAGAATATAAAAACCCAAGAGATTAAATTTAATCCATTTGCGACAGCAAACATTATTTTCCTACCAAAAATATCGTATGCAGGTAGTGTAATAACGCTTCCCACAAATAAACCCAAGTTATAAAGACTTACAACTAGAGCAGATTCCATCTAGAATATTAAAAATCATTCTTTATTCTACCTTCTTTTGACATCAGTTATTATTAATAGTTTTTCTGCTAGTATTTTTGAACTTACGGTGGCTAGTTGTACGCCAATGGGCGAATTTTCAGACTCCAGTTCAGGGATGAAGGGAGAACTCCATGTCCCATGGATTTCAGAGGCGGTAAATGACAGCAACGCTGATAAGAGGTTTATAAAATATTATCTGAGCTTTACTAATAGTACTGTTAAAGTTTAAGGTTGATGAATTGCACAAGAAAAACTATAGGGTTGTTCGGAAAGTCATTTCGTTTT